CTTTTCTGGGACACATCAGCTCCTACGTGACAGCGCAGAGGTCACAGAAGGAATGCCTACCAGGTCCCTGGGCCTGCCACACAGGCTCACGAAGACCTGACCCACGGGGGATAGAGTTGAACCCCAGCACGAGTCAAGCCTCAGACAGGGGCCACCCGTGGCTTTCTGGTTCACCATAGGGAGCCAACGAGCAGGGCGTTCCAAGCTTGGAGGGAGGGAACAGGTCCTGAGAAAGTGAGCTCCCAGAGCAGGGCACTGGGAAAGAGCAGGCTGACTTTAGGACCAAACACAGCGGGGGATAAGGAAGGACATAACAGTAAGAACCCTAACAGCTGCTACCACCACCAGAGCCTTGACCCCATGCCAGGCAGGTGCCAACCATTGACCATGCTACCTGGTAAGGTAGGTCCCATCATCATCACTACCACGTCAGCTCTGTGAGGGCAAAGGACCATGTGCGCCCCTGGCCCTCCCATAATCTCTGGAGCCCGAACAGTGTGGGGCACAGGGGATGAGCACAGTAAATATGTGCATTATGAATAAATCCTCACTTCACACATAAGGGAAAGCAGCACAGAGGTGAGTCACTTCTCTGAGCTTCAAAGCCAGTGAGTGGCACAGCCAGGATTCAATCCCAGCAGAGCCCGCCTTCCTTACCCCCACACGTGTCTGGGCTAGGCAAGCTGGAGTCCCAGTGTGTCCACGGATGGTGAGGGAGCGAACAAGGCACCATCCCCACCAGGCCCTGCACACCCGCTAGAGTGGGAACCTGGTGGCCAGTGGGGCGTGCAGAGCTCTCTGGAGGCAGGGAACCCGTGACTTGGCCCAAACCATACACTGGGCCCACAGGGGTCCCAAACACGGGGGAGCCAAGGAGAAAACGAAGTCAGACTGGCTCAGGAGCTGGGCGGGGGCGGCGGGGGGGGGGGGGGAAAAAACGGCTTGATGAAAGGCTTGTCCCTTACCAATCCGTCGCAGTTGCTGATGGCGACAGCTGCCCCTGGCATGCCCGTGACGTCCCCAGTGTAGACACACTCCCGCTGCAGGGGCTGTCGGAACAGCTCCCGAAAATCCTCCTGCCACTCCACCGAGGCTCCGGGCACCACCAGCCGTCGGTTGGGCCGCAGGCGCAAATGTAGTTCCTCCCCAAAAACTGTGACATTGAAGTAGAGGGAGGGGCGCCCCACCCGGCCAGGCTGCAGGGTGGCTCCTTCTGGGCGCAGGAGGCTGCGGGCCACCCGGAGGTGACCCGAGTGTGACTGTGGTGCGGGTGCCCCCTCCGCTCCTGCACTCCCTGCAGAGGCTGCTGCCGGCCCAGAGAGCACGTGGGAGAGGAAGCGTCCCCGAAAATCCGTGCTGCATGGCACTGTCACACCATAGTCACGGAGCTTTCCAGAGAGACGCAGTTCTGCTGGAATAAACAAGGAGTTATATCAACATAGTCTGTGCAAAGGTAAGGGGAGACCGGCAATCCCACAGGGGCAGGGAGGGGCTCTGCAACCCTGAGCGTCGCCTTGGAGGGACCCCTTAGCCCAAGTTCATCCAGGGCTTCCTGAGCCTCAGGATCTCTGCACTTGGATGAACGGCGTTCAAGAACTCTATGGACATAACTTGCTCCCTGTAGTCCCTGAGGCCCTGTTAAACTTAACAGAAGAAAACAATGATGCCAGAGTCCTCTCTGCCACTCTAGCAACGAGCCTTCCAACTTTGGGCGCTGCCGAGGAATAGGCTGAGATTCCCCGAAAGCCCCCAGAGCAAAGAGAGGGATGGCTGAAGTCACCAGCCTGGGGTAAGACCCTCCTTCTTGCCAAGCTCTCGGAACACAGCTGGCAAAACAAACACACCTAGAAACCCAGGGGATCCGGGGCACTGTCAAGGAGAAAGGAGGAGCGGATGGGGGAGGGAGGGAATACAGGTTCTATATTTTTCCAAGTTTAGAAAGAAAACCTTTTAAAGTAAACAGAGGCTGCAGCGATTTCTACATGGCCCAGCACCAAGCCCGGTAAATATAGATCTTCAAAAATAAAAGGAGACGCACGGGGTGACCTGCCCACCCGGACTGAATCAAGTGTGAGGTCATGGCCCCATGCTCCAGGCTGCATGCCAGCAGCCAGGTCCTCGCACAGCTCTCCCGGAGCCCAGCCAGGCCCAGCAGGAATGACAGCTCGCTGGCTTCCAGGCTTGGTGATTCAGGGACTGGAGTTTGGAGGGATTTTCATTTCCGCATGGCTCTATCTCTTGCCTCCCTGGGCCCCTTCACGCTACCGATGAAGCCTAGAAAATGAGGTCTCCTGAAAACCCCCCATGCCCAAGGCAGTTCCAGTGGGGGAGTACTGACCCTCCTCTGGTTTTACCCATTAAGATCCCCAAGATTTCTGCTAGAGAGAGCCCACTTCAGTACATGAACAGAGCTCACAGACAAGCAGGCAATCTGCCTGGAAATGACCAGAGCGCCCTCCCCATGCTCAGAGCCACAGCAGGTGAGGGTGCGGGGTGCCTGGTCTGCGTGTGAGAGGGACGGTGTCTGCACAGAGCCCGAGAATGCCGGAGGAGAGGGCTGGGCGTGTGTTTCCAGCCGGAGTGTGAGTGCCAGGTGCTCCCTGGGGTGTGGGGCAACCACCTGCCAGCCTGATTCTGTGAGGATGAGACAGACACATGCACACAAGTTGGAGACGGAGAAGTTACTAAAAGTGAAAGGCACACAGGACAGAGACAGACCAATAATGTGTGTGTGCGTGTGTGTAACAGAGCGAGAGGGAGAATGAAAACGAGAGAGCGCGAAATACAGAGACAAAGACCAATATACAGCCCCCTAAGAAGAGACTCCATATTCCCAAAACTCCCCAAACGTCTTCCAGGGCCTCTCCACCTCTTGTGCCAGAAAGGAGGAGCAATCGCGGGTCAGCGCTGTGGACACAGGGGAAGAAAGAAGTTCAAGCCCAGGGCGCGCACCGCCTCCCACTCGCTCCAATGCCGCCCGGCTCCTCGGGCCCCCTGGGGCCAGCCAGACTCTCAGGCCCCCGGGACCCCTCGCGCCCCCGCGGGCCAGCCAGACTCTCAGGCCCCCGGGACCCCTCGCGCCCCCGCGCGCCCGGCCTGCACGCACCTGGGGTCCGGCTGCCCGCGGCGGCGCAGAGCGCACAGTGCAGGGGCAGCAGGCAGGACAGCAGCGCGCGGAGCCGAGCCATGTGGCCGCGCGCGGACGCGGGCCGGAGGGCGCCCGAGCCCCCAGCTCCGGGCTGCCGGCGAGGTTGGAGCGCGCCCAGGACTGCCGAGCGCGGGCCAGCCGGCCTCCGCCTGCTCCGCCGCCGCCGGCCCGCCAGCTCCCGGCCCCCCGCCCGCGCCACCGCCTGGACCGCTGGCTCCGCGCGCCCGAGGCTGCCGGCGGGAGAGCGGAGCGGCCGACGCGCCAGCGCCCCCGGTGCCAACTGCCGCGAGCCGGTCGGTCCGCCCGCGCCGTGACGCTCCGGGACGCGGCGGGAGCCGGCCAAGGGGGCGGCGGGGCGGGCCGGGCCTTGGTGGGGGGGGGGGGTGCACGCTGGCGGGGCGGGGCCGGGCGCGGGTCGGACGGTGGGCGCCGCGCGGCCGGGGCGGAGCGCGGGGCCGGGGAGCGCAGCGGCTCAGCCGGATCGGAAGTGCCACGCGGAGCCAGCGGCCCGGGCTCCCCCGGAGTGACGGTCCGTAGCCGTAGCTGCTTTCCTTGTGCCCTCGGTTCCCCTTACTTGGCCGCAGGGCCCCCCTCTCCAGAGCCACTGGGCCGAAGGGATGTCCAACTCCGTTTGGGTGGGGAGACGGTGAGCACCTCTCCTCCCCAAGAGAGTGTGTCTCCTTCTTTCTCTCCTAATGGTCTTGACGCCCTCCACTAACCTTTGACCCCTTGGATCTACCCATTTCGCAGACTACAGTTCTCTCTGCCCCCAACTGCAGTGAGCGGCCCATGTCCTAGTCAAGTGCGGGACTGAGCAAAGTGAGGAGAGTGTCCTGGCTTCATGCCCAGAGGGCCCTGACTGACATCCCAGCACTGCGCCTCCTAACTAGAGCCCATAGTAGGTGTTCAATAAATAAAATATCCTCCACCTCTGCACCAGTAACCCCTCCACAGCCCAAGGTGGGAAAAACCCAAGAGTCAGAGATGAGAGTGGATTGCTGGTTTTGCAGTGTTGCTGAGACCAGTTCAGTAGTCAGGGCAAATAGCCCAGCTCCTGCTTGACTGTATAAATGTGTTCTTAACAATTTGCAAATGAACTGTATTTCAAGCAAGCCAGAGGTGGGAACTGGAGAAAGGAGTTTTTTGTGTGTGCTTTTTTTTTTTTTTTAAGGAACTGTGGAATAAAGAATCTTTGTATAAAGTGTATAAGGACCCCTAATCTTTCTGCTTTTGAGGCCAGACATTTTGTTGTGGGGCCTTCTTAAAAGGAGACCAACTTGTGGGTGGAAATTCCCTAACCAGACTTCTCTTGGGAATCTCTGGATCCCCTGAGAGAGGCCTTGGCTTCCTGCACTCTTCCCCTCCCCCCACCCATGACATGAGGCCTCCCCGTCTGCACCCTTGCTGGGCTCTGAATATGTTCCTGCCTTGTGGGTAGAGAGCTGGATTCCTCATCCCCATGGCCCCAGGCCCTGGCCCAGGACCTCCTGAGAGGCAGTACTTCTGGAGTGAGGAGGCTTTTGGAGGGGCAGTGCATTTATGAAAGCAGTTTCAGAGAGCTGAAGCCCTGTCCCAGGTCACACAGCTCATTTGCAGCAGAGCTGGAATCTGAATCCAGAGTCTAGTGCTGAGCCGGAAAAAGAGAAAAGATTAGGGATCAGTAGACTACTGTAGGCTGAACTTTGCCAAGTACAATCTGTATGACCAAGGGCAAGTCATTTTTCCTTTTGGGCTGCAGGTCCTCATCTGTCAAAAAGGGAAACCATGAGGCTCACAGGACTCACAGACAAACTCTGAGGTCCTGTGGAAACGCAGAGCATATTCTATTCCAAGCAACACCAAGACCATCCAGTTATTTGAAAATGGAACCACCAAACTGATCTATATTAAGTTCAGGAAAAATAGAGTTCCTTTTTCTCCTCTTTCTGGTCCTTTAAGATCTGTGAAGTCAAGAGCCAGACTGTGGTTTTGTGTGTGAGGGCAGATGGAGCAAGAATGTGAGGGATGTGTATGTGTGTGTGTGAGAGCTTGTGTCGGTGGGAACTTGGAGGCGAGGCTCTGAGATAACCGGGCTGGAACTGTCTCCATCTGGCCCTCCACAAATCCACTAAATGAGCTCAGGATAAAATGACCTCCCTTCTTGGGATCTCAGTTTTCCCACTGCAGAGTGGGGGCCCTGTGAAGACAGAAACGGAAAGTCACGGCATGTGATCGCTGGTTTTCTCCCTTGCCATCCCCAAAGCTTGCCTAGCCCCCTCGCTGAGCCCCACCCCATTCTTCCTGCCTTAAACTTGGGAAGTCAAGAGGGACTGATTGCCGCTGGGACCCCAGCAGCCTGACTCATGAGCAATGGGCTGGGGCCTTCCCCAGAGCCAGTCCTGGCAAGCAGGGAGCAAAACTTCCACCCGATTCTTACCCCCACCCCCTTCCCTGGGGCTACAACAGTTGCTTTTGTTGGCAAGTATTGTTATGTCCAAGCTCTTTTCTACTGAGGAAGTCTTTGTTAGGAAGAGGGGACAGGGGAGCATAACTCAGAGCCCGGGCAGAAGGTAGAGGAAATGGCGGGGGGCAGGCCCCTCTTCTGGAGGTGAACAGGGCCAAAGTAAAAAAAATCTACAGGCATCAGCTGGAGACTCTCCTAGGAAGGCAAGTTCTGGGTTCCCCGTCTCTCACCTTGGGACATTCGCACAGTGGAGTATGGCTTGGGTGTTTCTCTTGCCGACGGTCCTCCAACATTTATCCCACGCTCCTTCTGTCCGAGGCCCTGGCAGAGGAGGGAAGATGCAAACAGTTGGCACTGCGCAGTCAACAGCCAATTGGGAGACACAACAGGTGCATGAGAGAGCCTGAAAACCGGGAAAGAGAAGCAAGTCTGATAAAGGAGCAGAGTCACCAGTGAGTGCTATGGGGATTCCAAAAGGAAAGGGGCTCATGACGGGTTCCGTGGAAGACCTGAGTCCAAGCCAAAGCCCACAGGCTTCAGAGTACACCGTGGTGCCCCCATGAGATTCTCCCATCCTCATCCCCCGAGGGGTCATGTGAGTCAGTGTCTTCCTTTTCTCGTTTTAAAAACCTTTCTGTTGTGAAAACTAGAACGCACACAGAAGAGTATTATCTGCTCGTTTTCTACACAGGGTAAACTGAGGCCCAGAAAGCAGAGGTGACTTCTCCGAGGCCACACAGTGGACTTGTTCAGGGGCAGGATAACACCCCAAGACTCCTGGCTCCTGGTCAGGTGATCCTAGGGCTTCACCCTTTTGGTCCCTCCCACCCAGGACTTCGTCCCTTTGGCTACTCATCATTGGTTCTAACCTCACTGCTAAGGGAAGAAGAAAGGTTTGGAGTTCTTCCTCCTGGTATCTGAGAACCACAGTCCAACTAAGAAGTTCCAGGTCAGTAGTTCCCCAATCAGGGTCCCGCAGGCCAGCAGAATCAGCATCATTTAGGTGTTTGTTATCAGTTTGAATTCTCAGGCCCCACCCCAGACCTGTTCAACCAGAATCTCCAGGGGTGGGGCCCAGCAACCCGTGCTTTATCCAGCCTTCCAGGGGATTCTAATGCATGCTCAAATATACGAATCACTGTTCTAAGCAAAGCCTTGCAAATGAGGGCCAAATTAGGACGAGAACAAACTCAGAGGATCTGTGACCTGCTCCTCATTAAAGGCTGCCACCCTCACCGCCTATCCTCAGTCTCTAAAGCCTGGCCTCAAGCTGTATCTGAAGTCTGGGTCTGGACAGAGATCCAGATGCATCCAGAGCAACCAGAGACCATGCCTTGTGGTCCTTCTCCACATCACCCTCCTCCGCCCCCCTCCCCTCCCTTCTCCTCCCCTCCCCTCTCCTCCGCCTACCCCCCACATTCCCTTTGCACATTTCTTGGCAAGTGTTTAGTGACTGTATCTAGGAGACCCGGATGGGTTAAGTTAACCACAGTGATTTGTCATACATTACGGAACAGCTGACACCCCCGAGACCGGCTGAACCATGAGATCAGTTAGAAACAATGCTGTTTGTGCCCTGTGTGTAGACACTGTATGGTTGTGGTTACTGCATGTTGAGGGGTTCAGGGAGAGGAGGTCTCCTTGTCCTTGTAAGGAGGGATGCCAGAAAGGCCAGCTGTCCTTCAGGAAATCTGTTTCTACCATTTCCTTTCCGGAAACTGTAGGTTTATAATTGCAAACCGAAGTCCAGTGCAGCCCTTGGCATTGGCCCCTTGGGGCTCAAGAGAAGCAGGCAGAAAGCAGAGACCCTCTCCTATTTCCAGGAGCCCCTAGGTTGTGATAGAAGGTCTCAGAAATATTTGGCAAGGACTCATTGCACACAAGCCTTTCTTTGAATCCTGGTGTCCTCTTTGATGTCATGGTGGCATCCTGCAGCAAAGATGGGCCAGGCCTCCATTCTGGTCCTTTCTCTAGATCAGTTGGGTTACATGTAACCAAATAAATAAATATGGCTTAGTGTATTACTCCACATAATATGGAATACTGAAACATGCCTGTGCCTGCCTGGTTAATTTGGCAGCCCAACAGAATTATCCAGCACCGCATTTCCTTCCTCTTTCTACTCTGCCATGTTTGTGGTTAGTCTTATCCTCAGGCTTGTCCCATCTTAGTCACAAAATGGCTGCATTAGCGCCGGCCTAATGCATATGTTCACCAAATGCAATGGTGACCAGAGGCAATGGAAAAGGGAGTTCTTTCTTGTGCCCTCATTTTAAAAATTTTATTATGCAAATTTTCAAACACACACAAAAGAAGACAGAGTAGTATGAAGCCACCACCCACCCCCATCCAACGCCCACTACATTTACCCACAACCCAGCTTCGATCATTGTTAGCCCAAGATGGGTCTTGTTTCACTGTTACCCCTTCCCTCCATACATCCTGGGTTACTGTAAAGCAAATCTCAGGCATCATCTCCCATTTAGTATCAGTAGCTAAGAGATAAAAGACTCTCTCCTTTAAAAACAAAAACAAAACAACATTAACAACAAAAAGACATTTCTTTATCACATCTAACAAAATTATCACAATTTCTTAAAATCATCTTATATCCGCTCATCGTTTACATTTCTCGGTCACAGAAATCTTTGTTTTCTTTAGTTTTGTTTTGAAGACTTGGTTTGTTCAAATCGGTGTCCAAACAAAGTCCACACAATGTATTTGGCTGATGTGTCTCAGAAGACTCCTTTAATCTAAACCATGGGTGGGCAGACACATGGGGCCAAACCCAGCCCACAGCCTGTTTGTGTACACACACCCCACCACCTTCACTTGTTTATGCTTTCTCAGCTTCATTTCATGCTGCAAAGCAGAGTGGAGTTGTTTTCTACAGAGCCAGGATGAGCCGCCAAGACTAAAGTATTTATTACTTGGCCTTTACAGAAAAGGTTTGATGACCCCTCATCTAAACAATTTCCCCCGTCTTTTTTCTTCCTCTCCATTTTTTGGGTTGAAGAAAGGAGGACATTTCTCCCACAGAATTCCGCATTTTCTGGTGTCCCGTTTGAAGGGCCAGGTAGAAGCTTCCAGAGGCCGACCTACAGCAGTGTGCCCAGCTGAGGCCCTCCTCGGAAGCACGTGGCTGCTCAGGACCTGAATGAAATCGGATTTCTATCGGGAAGCAGGGAGGGGAGTGAATAGTTGATGATCCCAACCTTCCAAAATGGACCAACTCGGCAAAATGCTGGGAGGGGGTTGTGTCTCCCTCTGCTGGCTGTAACCAGTCGGGGTGCCCCTGTGCCCCCAGGACACAGATTCTCCTTGCTCCATCTTCCAACTTGCGATCAGCATCTAACAAACCCTTGGCACACCCCCTTTCCCAGGTTTGTGCCTTACACCAGAGATCCAGAGGGGACTATGGCACGCCCCTCTGAGCTCATCATCCACTGAGGGTGTTCCCGGGAGATGCCGGGAGGGCATGGAGAAAGGATGCCAAACCCGCATTTGCACAGCCAGAGGAGGTGCCCAAGGGCTGGTGGGGAAGATGGGGCAGGATCCTACCTCTCAGGAGCTGAAAAGCCCTGTTAAGGGGTCTGGCCCATCCAGAAGGCTCTCAGCGGCCCCTGGAAGCTTCTTTGAGGGGCCAGGAGCAGCGTTAGGCTTGAGAAAGTTAGTGAGATGGAAAACCTGCTATCAGATTCCTCACTCACACAGAGGCATGAGTCAACCATGGTTGTATACTGGGGTGATTAGACCCCAGGGGGTGAAAGCATTAGGATACAGTATGAGGGGTGCTTCTAATAGTATTTTGTCTTTTCCAAAATATGTCAAATATATACATTTTAATACATTTATCTTTATATTATATTTCATATTATATAATCTATATTTTAATGTACAATTTATGAACAATCTGAGGGTTGCTGGAGCGGAGGTGGGTGGCGGGATGGGGTAACTGGGGCATTAAAGAGGACACGGGACGTAATGAACACTGGGTACTATATACAACTGATGAATCACTGAACTCTATCTCTGAAACTAATAATACACTATATATTAATTAATTGAATTTAAATTAAAAAATTTTTAAATAACATACAATTTATACATTATATATTATATACTATAAAATTTGTAATTATATCACAATGTATAAAATGCCTAATTTATTATATATTTAATATAAAAGTTTATTTGTATATTATTATATAGTTATTAAATTATATGTCAATATAAAGATATCTATCTGAATATCTATCTGACATATTTCAGAAAGACAGAATACCCTTGTATGTCTGTATTTTCAGCGTCATGCAGTGCATCGCAGGGTAGCATTCTAATGATGAAACTGAGCCTCTGGAATGACACCACGGAGGTAGCACCTTTTCTCTCTTCACCCAAAGCCACCTTTGCTCCAATAGGTGGCTCTGCGCTATGGCCCCTCTTGGAGCTGGTTTTTAAATCTGGAAAATGAGAACAGAAATCCCTATCTCACATCAGGGATGGACACACACAATACCAGCCATATATCTGGAAGTCCGTTAAGAGCCGGGGCAGAGGAGGCAAAATACTATTGGCATTTTGCTTCCTTCTTAGCTCTTGAAACTGAACGCCCTGAGTCCTGAAAGGCCTCACTGTCTGCCACTCAAAGAGCAGACGGGTTGGAGGTGAGGCTACATTTGCTCATTTCCAGGATGACCTGCCCTCTTTCAAACGGGGACGGGGTGGAGGAGACACACAGGCACCCACACTTTGCCTGTGGAATTCCTGCCTTCCCTCGGCACAGAGCTTTCACAAGCCCTGGCTTCAAAATCGTCATGAGTTGACAGTTGTCCTCTGTGTCCTCCAAAAGAGGGAGAGGTCTTTATTGAGCGCCGACTGTATACTGGGCGCTCTGGAAAGCAGCGTCCAGGCCCCAAGAAACCCAGGAACGTCCGCTCCTCCAGCTCTGCTCTCCGTGGACAAACTTTGAACTCAGTTCAGGTGATCTGGATGTATGCCTGCTTGTGAGTCCAGCGGTGAAGGTGACATTGTGTATGATGTTGTGTATGCATTTGCCCAGCGAGAGGAAAAACCTCAGCTGGGAAGTTGGAAGGCTGGGGTTCTGGTCAAGACTCTGCTTAACGGGCTGGGGAGTTCTGGGCAGTGCCTTCCGGCCCTGCGCTGTGAGCGCACAGATGAGATCACCTCTCGGGGGGCCTCTGAGCGCCCCCCATGACTCAGCCCCCAGGGCTTTGCACACAGGCTCTTTCCTGAGCCAGGAGTGCCTTCCCCCCACCTCCTCCTGGCAAGCTATGACTCTTCCTTTAGATCCTTTGTCAGCAACCACCTCCTCCCTGAACCCATTATGACACATACTTCTCAGTGAAGCATTTCTTATCAATTTTTAAAAAAGATTTTATTTATATATTTGGCAGAGAGAGAGAGAGAGCACAAGCAGGGGGAGCAGCAGGGAGAGGGAGAAGCAGGCTCCCCTTGAGCAGGGAGCCCGATGTGGGGCTCGATTCCAGGACCCCGGGATCATGACCTGAGCCAAAGGCAGCAGCTTAACCGATTGAGCCCCATAGAGGCCCCTCTTATCAATTTTCTTAAGGGCAGGGCTCAGGTGCCGTCTCACTGAGGCTTGGCACACAGCAGGTGCTCAATAAAAGTATGCTGTATTGACTAGCATCGAGGTCCCTTCCCTCAGACCTCCACGCTGGGTGAGCAGCACTCTCCAGAGGGCTAAGTCATTCTTCTAACGGTTTGAACCCCTCGCTGTGAAGGCTGTGAGGTGAAAAAGGACAGAGGCCTCCAGAGAGTCTCAGGCCTTGGGAACCAAGGGAGGCTTGAAACACATCATCTCCCCCAACAGCTGATGATGACACCCTTCCGGTCACCATTAGTCACCCACCCGCCACAGGCACTTCTGTTCTTTTTATAACTCCGGGCAGCTGAGGCCAGCGGGCCCTACACCTGCCCCCACATTTATGCTCCACAGGCCTCCAGGATGTGCTTTTTGGCAAGGCCTCCAGATCAATTAGCCAAGTCAGTGCTGAGAAGTTGGGAGGTTTGTGGGGTGGGAACCGGGTCAGAAATCCCTCACAGCCAGCAAAGAGCTACTTCGGGCCAGTGGAGCCGAGCCTTGGGCGGAAGGGGTGCCAAGGGCTGTGGGAAGACCAGGTCACGGAGAGAGCAAAGTGCACAGGGCATTTAAAGCACAGGGTGAAGACCCAAATCCGGAGTGGGCTAAAAAAAGGGCCGTAGATTGCATGTTACAAGCTGTGTGCTCTCCCGGGTCCACCCAGCTGGCCAAGAGGAAGCTTCCTCCCACCCCGCCGCCACTGACCTCCACCGAATGTTCCAAATAGGTCCACATATGTCTCCAGTCCCGTGGCCCAGAGAGCAGAGCAGCTGAGAGATGGAGCCCTCCCTGGAGGCAGCCACACCCAGTGACCTCACGCACCAGGGGAACGCAGAAGGCTGGGCCCTCCATCAGTCCCTGGGGAGTAGCTTTTGGAAGGGGCACCCCTATCAAAAGGCAAATGGCCCAGATAGCCAAACACAAGCCACAGATTAGCTCCAAGGCTACATGGGTTTATCGGTCACCTGCAGACATGTCAGTAGCTGCTGCCCATCGTGGGCTTGGGGGTCGAGCCACGGCAGCCTGGGCTCAGACTGGATCCGCCCAGAGCTGTCAGCTGTCAGCTCTGGGGACTCCTTGGCCCTTCCTCCTCCTCGCTACAGAAGAATGAGCAACAGCCAAGGTGACGCTCAGGCCGCTTGCTTCCCTCCGACCTCCAGCCCCACAGCCTCAGGGACGGGAAGGACAATGAGGGACCCTTACTCCTCAACCCTCCGCCACCACCTGGTTGACAGCATCCATGGGGTCTTCTATCCCTCATCATGGCCCCCATGGGGCTCTTGCTCTTCCCTCTTCCAGAAAGCCATGTCTCTGTAGCACCCACCCTCATCACCGGAACTATAAAGAGCTGTGAAGGTCTGAGATGTTACCCCTCTTGTGGGCTCACCCTCTTTCCCGGAGGAAGACACCAAACGCCTGGGTCAGAGACCAAGGACATTGTTGTTCATGGCATGGTGGGCTGAGTGAGCTTCTCTTTCCCTCACGCCGAGTCCCATGGGGCCAAGTTGGAGGTGGGGCCTGGTGGATGCTGGGCCCCTAGTGGGTTGGTGTTGCAGCTGAGGAACCCTGAGTTTAGGAAATGCCCGTCTTATAAGGGAGCTGCTAGCAAATGGCCCTGCCCTGGAAAGAGACAAGATCATTACATGTCAGGGCCATCTGCTATGCAAAAGTCCTCAAAAATGTGGTCCAGAACAAAAGCTATTCAGGAGACAAACAGAGTCTCCTTAGAATCATGTCCCAACAAATACGGTGGAAATGATGCACGTCTGTGAGCCGAGCAGAAAGAGGCCACCTGTCTCCTTAAGTGCAAGGGCAGTGGGGAGCTACATCCTTTTTTCCCTTGGCTGAGCCCTGACTCAGACTAGAGCATCAAGAAGCAGGGTCTGAGACACCCAGGGGAAGGCTGCTGGGGGAACCAGGTAGGTACCTGGGGTCCAAGAGAGGGAAGGAGGCTGCAGAACAGGCATCGAACTGATAAGGGGGCTCCGGGAGCCCAGCCTGTGACTTAGGTGACCTGTTTGTGTCCGCCTGCAAAGAACCCCCACCCATGGGACTTCCTTCCCTGCTTGATCCACCTGACTTTCCCGACCCTAGCAAAAGGGAAGGCCCCAGGGGAATCCCGATCTCATCCAGCTGGCAGGAACATGAGGGCTCCACACATTTAGCCCAGAGGTTAAAGCCTTGGGCCCTGGCGTCAGACTGGGCTAGGTTCAAGCCCGGAGCAAGCCACCCCACCTCCCAAGTGCCTCGCTTTCCTTCTACGTAAAATTGAAAGAATAAAGGTACCTCCTCATGAGAGATCTTCTAAAGATTAATCCACCAGTCCATAGCAAGTGCTAAGCTATCATGAAGCAGCTGCACCATGAATGATGACCTCTTGTTTCCCAGAGATTGTTCTGGTGGGAAAACTAAATGCCTTTAGTGGAGGCGGACTGGCCAAGGTCCCACAGCAAGAGAACATAAGCTCTGTATTCCAACCCAGGTACACCAACCTCTCTCCCAAGACACCCACCACCAACTGGGGCTGCCCGATCCACTAACCCCACTTCCTTCCACCCCTTCTCTCCCACCTCGGCAGCCCGGCACCCTCCACCTTGGGTGGTCAATGCCTGGCCAAGGGGATTCCACCCACTGTCCCAGGTTTGTCCTGCAAAGGCACACCCCAGAAGGGCTCCAGGAAAGTCCGAAATGCTTGTGACTTTCGGAACATTTCTTAACCCCCTCGAGCCTCAGTTTCCCTATCTGTAAAATAGGAAACTCACAGAGCTGGTTTATAGGACTGTGGTGAGGACTGCTAAATGCAGAGTACTTAGCAGAGCGCCCGGCACGTAATAAGGACTCAGCCAGTGTCGGCTGTTACTCTGACCCCACTTAGTATTATTACCCTAAATGAAGACACCTAGATCTGGGGGATTTGTGGACTCTCTGCTCCAAATGAGAGCAGGTGATGGGGTGCTGACCACGATTAAGTGGCTCACACACGTGCTTCTGTCAGAAAGGCCTGGAATAGAGCGAGTACATAGTGCCGGAACGGGGGAGGGACCCGGCGACCACCAGCTGGACTCAGCTCTCTGCGGTCCCTCTGGGGTCCCTCACCGGAGCGGGAAGATGACCACAATGCGCACAGCCGTCTGATGGAGGTCCCCACCGGGCTCTCTCATGTTCACGATGACTCCATATAATCGGCCGGGCAGGTGGGGACCAACACTCCTGTTTACAGATGTGGAAAAAGCCTCTGGGCCACGGTTCCACGGGCCCGGAACTGGAACCCGTCCAGCAGAGCGCCCAAGGTCCCACCGAGGCAGGGGCCCCAGTGGGGCCAGAGCCAGCTGGCTCTGCAACATCTCGAGGGCCTCTGTCCTGCTGCTCACAGGTCGGGTTAAGCGCGGGCGGGGTGCATGGCTGGGGTCACCAGCTTGTCCTGGTTTGCCCGGCTTCTCCGGTTTGGGCATTGCCAGTCCCTGTCCTGGGCACACTGGGATGGGTGTGCGCCCCTGAGAGCCCTCAGTGGAGCCACCCCCAGCTCCTGCCGTGCACCCCACCCTAGCTGCACCATCGCCTAGGAGACCTCCCCGCGCAGGAGGTGGAGGTGCTAAAAAGAGGGTCGGGTGTGGCCGAGTCAGCAGAGGAGAGGTTGGGAGGAGGAAGGAGGCGAGAAGCTGTAGAGATCTGTCTTCCACTCCCTTCGCAGGCTCCGCTCCCCCCGCCACCCCCAATCTCTGCAGCTCTGTGCTTCTCCTCTTGGGGCTCCCCTCCTACCTGCCTCCTGGCTGGTGGGGGTCAGCAAGGATGTGACCAGCCACCAGTGCTTGGGCTCCTTCCTGGGGGACACATGGCGCTTCCAGCAGCCTGATGGCCCCTGCGTCCTCTGCCACCACGCCCTGCAGCAGGGTGCCCTTCAGCACCTGCCCTGGCGCTCCCCAGCTGCCAGCATTACCTGGCCAGGGCCACATCCAGCTGTAGTGAAGAAGTGGCCCAGGATTTGGCTGCTAGTATCCACAGTGATTGGCAGGTCTGGCTAGACATGGCCCAGGTGCCAGGGGTCAATGTGACTGTGGCCGTGACTGGCCCCGCTCCAAGGCAGCCAACTCCAAGGCCCCGAAGCTGTGCCAGGACCACAAACTTGGTGGCGTATCAGTTCTACGGGTTGTCAAGCACAGGGGTGAGGCCTGCTGGGTGGCTGGCAGGGGCAGATTAAGTGCTTAGTGCAGTGTCTGCCCCCACTAGATGCTCAAAACAGTCGTTTTTCATTTGACCTTTCATCCCCCAATAGCTACAGTGTGCACCCCCCCCCCGCCAGCTCCCTTGCCCCCACGGTTCGGTACCCTCTAGATGTATAGCTCCTAACTGGCGCCCTTCCCAAATTGGACATTTATCCCTTAGGTGATAGGGAGGCCTGGACGGTGGTTGGAGAGGGGCTGTGTGACAGGCCATGGGAGAGATGGGCGTTGGGGGTTGGCCCAGGATGCTGCCCACAGGTTCAGGAAGGGGCAGACTCTCTGAGAAGAAGCTGGGTGAATATACTAGACAGTTCGCAGGAGTCGGGGGAGAGGCTAGGAGGAGGGGGGGAGCACATAAAGATGACCCCACTGGTTCTTGCCTTGGTGATTGCGGGTGGGTGGGAAACATCCCCTGAAATGGAGAAGAGAAGATCAGGAGGGAGAGGGAAGAGCTCATTTGGAACAAGGTGAGTTTGAAGTTTCTGGAACAACCAAGGGGGCCCACCCCCGGCATGCAGTGAGCACCCATGCCTGGCATTCCTGGGCGACGAGAAATCTGAGAATCATCAGCCTCTGGGTGGCAACGGAAGCCACAGGGATTGGTGAGCTGACTCTGGGGCCAAAGCAGTCAGAAGAGAGGCTTGATGGTAGAATTAAAACAACACTGACTCCTAGCAGCTGAAGGTCTCGTCCTCTGAGTTTTCTGACTCCTGGGCAATTTGCTGACCATCTTACAGGACAGGATTAATTTTCAACCCCTTCTGTACATAACTCTCCAGGCCCTGTGCCAGGGACTTAATTCCCATCCTTGAGACACGTTCTCCAGTAGGATTCTGGGTCCTTCTGTAAATGGCACTTCCAGTGACTTCCCCTCCTCTCTAAGGTAGATGGATATGCAAATTACATCTCCATCATCTCCCTTGCCAAACCCTGGTGTTTGGGGCTTTTTGCTTTTATCTTTTAACTTTGGGGATGAAAATTTTCAAATATATACAAAAGCAAAGAGTATAATAAACCTTCATGTACCCATAAACCATCTTTAATAATTAACTTGTAGCTAATCTCCTTCATTTATACACTCCGCACACCCCTACACACACACACACACACACACACACACACACACTCCAGCCTCGCTGGATTATATGGAGGCAAATTATAAATAGTTTAGTATGTATCTCTAAAATATAAGATCCCTTTAAAGAAAGTAAATTTCTGTTTGAAGGGTAATATATATACTGAAAAGTGCACAAAGAGCACGTGCTCAAGAAATATAAGAAATCTACACCCCTAACTCATGTAAGTACTTCCCAGAACAAGCAATAAAGCATCGTGTGCTCCCCAGACGCCCCTCCATGTGGTCTCCCCATCCCTAACCCTTCACAAAATGATCACCATTCTGACCTCTGCCACCAAAGATTAGTTTTCCCTATTTTGAACTTCATATACATGGAATCGTACAGTTTATATTCTGTTGTGTCTGGTTTCCTTCACTCAACATTTTACATGCAAGATTCATCCATCATTGTTTCCTGTATTGGTTGTTGGCTATATTTTGTTGCTGTGTAAATTCCACAGCATGAAGATACTACC